TACTTCACAATTCGCTGGTTCGCGCAAGTTAAAATTTTTCAACAAGCCTATCTGCAGTGAGATTGTCCAAACGTTACCGCCGGCTTCAGAGCGTTGATTGGAGAGGACTAGGCAAGCGGCGTAATGACAATCCGCTGGCTGACGGGGAGCTGCTAAAGAACGGGGAGCAGTGCTGCAGCTTTCGGACAAATAAACACCCGTAGTGGGTCTGGATTCTGCTCTGACAACTACGCCGTTTATCCGCGGGAGGAGGTCAGAGTTAACTGGTTTTATTAAATTAGCTTTTTACTTTAGTTTTTGGAATTACAACTTATTATTATTATTATATAAGTTATTGTGGCTAGAAGTGGGTTACTCATAGCCGGACTAAATCAGGTCTATAGTAAACCTAGACAGTGAAATGACGGCTATTGTGGCTAACTGAAGGAGCCAAATGGAATTCAGCCATCATTAATTTTATTATTTATCCCTGTGCTTTTCCTACTGTGACATGTCAGAAGTACTTCTTGTTCACCATACAATTTGGCAAAAAGAAAAAACTTGAAAGTCCAATCTTGCCCTTGGAAATCTTCACTCAAGGACCACTTACTCACTTGTTCTGGTGCTTTTGACTGTATCCCAGTGTTTTCAGCAGCAAATTGAGTTTTCTCAGTTGACACTGAACTGTCGAAAAACATTCGAACATCTACATTTCTGTGACAACAGAGAATAAATAAAAAACAAGAATATTAATGCACGATAGCAGTCATGCTGACAGACAGTTGCATAACACTGCTGGATCCCTTATCAGTCTTCAGACTGTAGTTAATAAAATCTGACTCATCAGCATATTTATGGCAAAGAATTAGTGTCTGATAGAACATTGGGCTGGGTTAACATAAATGAGTAAAAAAGTAAATAAGTAAGAACAATGAGACAAGATCTTAGAAAAGATTGTCAGACCCCAAGAGAGTGGTGTGTGCTCTATTGAGCTTGAGCGAACCTGAATAACCATTGTTTTAAAAAACAATTATGTAACAGCTCTAAAACCCCATAGACAGAGTAACTGCAGGCCTACAACAAAGGCAGTTGCACCTGTCGTCTGCCCCAAATAAACTAAAACACAATATTTCATTTGCATTTTCATCCATCTGTTAAAACCAATCCTTTCATCTTTCACGCCATCTTTCACACCCCCGCAGCTCTGTGAGTGCTGTTGTCCGATGCCCTTCAGCCGAACCACGGCGCAGCCATTCCTCCCTGGCTGATGGAAGATCAAAGCGTTTGCTTTTTCACTCAGTGTCGAAGAATCCCTCCCCCCCCCCAGCTCTCAGTCACTTGCTGCTTCTCATGAGCTGCTGAAGGGGAGAGTGTGACCTGTTTCATAACCAGCAAACCATAAACATGCATGAGATGACACAGGCGCAGACGAACACAGGGTAGAAGGCAGTTTTTCTTTACTGTTTCTTATATATTGTTTGTATGTATTCCTATAAATGTGGTCATTCACTTGTGTGTGCCGTCCACTAACAAGTCCTCTTACCTCAATGACAAAAAGGGCCATCTGTCAGTGCTTTCCAAAATGAGAGTTTTATGATCTGGCACACCTATTGGCACACCCAGACGTCATTTGGTAGCAGCATGGCTGCAGGGACTGCAATGTTGGTTGGTCCACTTTGGTCCAGACTGAAATATGACCCTGACTTTTCCTAAGCAACAACAGCAAAGTTATGGAGTGGTTAAGTTAAGATAATCTTTATGGTTCAGGATGGAAAAATGTTGTCTGCATGGTTAAAAGAAACCAACACTGACTGTTGATGACAGGATGTAAACCCTGGTCTTGCACGTCAAAGTCAGATGGTTTTAATGCTCTGTTACCAATATTTAGACTTTATTTGCGGTGGTATAAGAACAACTCATTATTTCCTGCTTTGCTACTGAACCCTGAGCAATTGTAACCGTATGAACATATCAATGTACTTTTTTCTATTTTTGGGGAGAGGAGTGGAGGAAAGTCTTTATAAGATGACAAGAGATCACCAGTGAGGAAGGCTACAGTAAATATGAGCTTGAGTTTTTTTCCATTTGCACAATGTGCAGTGCAGTGCTGATTCACTGCTCTTTAAAATAACTGAAGAGGAAAAAAATGCCTCCACAAAACAGGTCGGCTTATTCAATAAATGTTTAATTTACGTTTGTCAGACTAATGTTTATGCAAGAGAAACAGATTATAAAAGTTGTGAGGAATGATAAATGATAAATAATGACACATAAATGTGCTGTGTAGATTTATGTATGTCAAGTGGAATGTGTTTGTATGAGTCAGTTTGAGATACAGAGTGAAGACATTTCTTTAAGGTGTCCTCAATCATCGGCAGTACCTAGCTAACACCATGCCCTACTTCCTGTTTACTGTTGGGCTAGAGTTATGGTTTTGGTATATATTTCGTAGGGCATGGTGTTAGAATTAAGATTAATGGGTTAAGGTTATGTACAGTATGTAATGCTAATGGTTATGGATAGGAAAGAGGGAGTGGATGATGTCAGTTTTCATGAGAGTGAGTGGAGGGTTTTTTTGATGTGTCAGTAAAGGATGATGACTCAGACTTATCAACACATTTCTGCAGTAATTTTCCTGTAAGATTCTGAACGCATGGGAAAGTGTGTGTGTGTGTGTGTGTCTTTGTGTGTACACTATGTGCAAAAGAGAGAAGGAATAATAATTAAAGACGAGACATACAGCAGCAACTGGCGACCTGTCCAGGGTGTACCCCCTCTTTCGCCCGATGTCAGCTGGGATTGGCTCCAGCCCCCCGCGACCCTATACGCAGGATAAGCGGTTGACAATGGATGGATGGATGGATGGATGGATGGACATGGGGGCATATGGTACTGTCTGACCTGCTACAATCCAAAAGTCATTCAGCAATAAACATACAAATCTTTTTTCCCCATGTGTTGCAACCAAATAGCAGTTAACAATCCTTTTGCACTGTTACCCAAAGTATAAGAAGAAGAAATTAGCTGTCTGGTTTCCCGATGTCTGAGTTGTGCACTCAGCTGCACAAAAATTCTGTTACCAAAATGTATGCTGGCATGACACATGACACAACATCAGCACAAACTGTGCTGAATGTATGGAGTGCAAAACAGATAACAGAAAATAATTGAAAAATAAATTGCATTTTGAGGTAAAATAAAAACATACGTCGCTACATAAATGGTTATATTGGAAAAGGTCCATAGATCTGACACTGCAGACAGAGCTCTATGTAGACATGTCTGACTGTATATATGGTGATTTGTTTGCTTGTGAGTGAGAGGGAGAGATGAGAGAAACCACTCTTGAGTGCTTGCTTCCACATTCATAGGGTCGTGTGCAGGTGAGAGGCTGATTAATTTTGGATGTGATTCAGCTGCATTTCCCATCTAGGGGAGGCAAGGTTCATTCTGCCTTCAACTCCAAACAATTAAACTCTGAATTGTGTGTGTGTTTGTGCTTCTGTGTGTGTGTGTGTGTGTGTGTGTGTGTGTGTGTGTGTGTGTGTGAAAGAGGGAGGGGCGCAGACAGACGAATATAAGACTGCCTATAGGAGTTATTTGAGTGTGTGTGTGTAGGAGGGCGGATCATGCTCAGTAGTTACCAGTTGTGTCACAGGTGTAATAGTAGCCTGTGCCAGTAGTTCATTGAAGACAAGAGTCAGCCTTGAGCGTCACATTGTGATTTTCCTCTCAAGGTGGCACACACACACACACACACACACACTGCTATGTATGCAGAAGAAGGTTCACATTACAAACAGGCTGTGTAATGTAAGGAAGACACACATACACACCCAGAGAATAACGTCATAGCACATCAGTCCACATCTGTGGCTGTTGGAGTCTGCACAAGTCAAGGTCATACATTGATTGAATTAAAATCACACACCGGCGCTGCGAGGCCACTGCTGAAGCACAGAAATGCTGAATTTGTATTCTGATCTCACTCCATGCCGTAGCTCGCTGTCCAGCGCTTCTGTGTAGACATGTGAACACAGTCGCACGTGCTTTTCGGCAAACTGCAGCTTCAACCCCAGACATGCAGCCATGCAGGCAGCACGGGATGGAGATAGCTGTTAGCCTATTTGGCCTGCATATTGCTGTAACAGCTGGATGGCCATCATAAAAAAAATCCATACGGCCCATACAGTGAAGTGATCGTCTCTTAAGAGTGAGTCGCTAACAGCTTTTAACAGGTTGGACTCCTGCCAAACAGTGTGAGTCCCACTGCTGAACAAACGACCAGTGCTGCCTTCTCTGACCTGTCCAATAACTGACCGCTATTGGTGATGCCTGCTAACGATCCTATCGATTGATTAATTGACAGCTGGATCATTTGCCCGCCGGGAGCGAAAGCAGCAGGTTCATCGCTGGTATGTCCACTCGAGTCGATTCGACTGTTTCTGTTCAAATTGCCGAAAATCAGATGGCAGGCTGTTTATTTTTTTACATCTTCAGGTAGCCTACTCTACTCTAGGCGATGCCAAACTGAGACAAAATGTCACGGTTACTGTGAGTCACAACAGCCCTGGCTTTGCCTATGCATGACTTTAATTACACAATAATGCTTCATTCACAACATCGGTAAAAGCTGCAACGCGCTAGTGGTAATCTCCTCTTCCAGCTATTTTAGTCCTAATAAAACACAGTCTCAGATAATTATAGGGCAAGCTGCCCTATCGGTAGCCTATGCTACATTTGCACATTACAGGATCAGTTTGGAGACAATAAAGGGCAATTTAAGCACACGTTTGCACAGCCGCACGCCCCGGGCTAGACGGGACAGTCGGCAGACAGACGCAAAGAGCCTCTCTGCGCATTACAAAGCAGGGCTGGCTGTACCCGGGATAGCGCAGTGGAGAATGAACTGCCATACATGGTAACTTCGCACACCTGAAGAAGGCTAAATGGTCTGTCAAGTCTTTACCGAGGCTGCTATAGAATGGGCACAAAGGTGGAGAACTCCGGGTATCACTCACCTAACTTTTGCTGCCACAGAAGATATCGCATCGTTTCTTAAATTCTTCCTTTTGGACACGGCAGCTCCCATGCTGAGATGGAAACGACGAAGGCAGAAAAACAGTTCATTCCCGAGACTCTAAAGGACGGAGGAATGCGACAGGGAAAACAGTACAAAAACCGCAACAAAAAAAAGTTGAAGTGAAATCCGGGAGCAGATATGTCAGGCAGGCGTCTGCAGAGCAAAATATGAACACACACAAAAAAAACAATACAAGGGACGCCAGTCTCACTCTCTCTCCCTTTTCCTCTTACTGTCTCTCCGGATATGAAGCACGTATGTGGGGTAGCTGCACAGCTGTAAGCGTGTGGCTGAAAATACACAGACGTCTCTCTCTCTCTCTCTCTCTCTCTCTCTCTCTCTCTCTCTCTCATTGATCTGAAAATGAAATGGGAGGATGGTAGGGGTGGTGATAACAACAACATCATCATCATCATCATCATCACAAAGCAGGGCGGGGGTGGGGGGGAGACTGTGTAAGGGACATGCCATTCATGTAGGAACCTCTTTGGACTATGATCTGTGTAACTTTATGTTTTCACTGCACCCTGTTATGTAATCGGTCATTTTGGCAAACAACCCCCCCTCCCTCTCTCACACACGCGCGCGCACACACACACACACACACACACACATACATACACACACATACAAATGGAAATGAAGAGCATCTCATCCACAGCCAAGGACAGAGGGAGCAGTCAGGTTAAGGTGCTGCAGTGAGCATCACTTCAGTCTAAGTCAAGCTATTGTTATGTTTGATCTTTTTCTGCTGTTGATTTTTTTTCTCTAAGCCATTGTGGCAGAAATGAGAATTCAAACGCTGACAGACCATAAAGTGCAGCTTTATGATCAGCTTTTGTCAGTGCAGCTTTTGTGGTTCTGCTCTACAGTGTCTGTAGAGATGAACCACAGTGTAGCTGCTCATCAGCCCTCCTATGAGCGGTTCCTTTCTTCAATCATGGGTCCACAATGCTCCCATATTTTCTTTTTTATGCAGTCATGGGTTAATAAAGTTATAATGACTTGATATCCTAAACAGCAGATGATCTATAACTTAGGCAACAGTTGATAAAGTACTAAAGTCCATTTCTGAAGTCAAAATAGCATACAATTGAAAAAAATAATCAATCAAGCAATTGCAAATACCTACAATTTTATTCAAGAGCATAACCTACAAAGTGTACTTTAAGGGTGAAAAGTACTTAATTTAATTTACAAATGTCTGCTTTGCATTGCATGGTGTGGAAGAAATAGGTCCAAAGGAGGGGGGAGGGGAGTGAGGGTTACTTTCTGGGAGTGCCTTCAAGCCCTAGTGGAAGTCTGTGCAGGGACTTGGGTGTGGTGGAGACTTGTAATTTAACAAGTGATTTAAGTTGGATTTGTACCAACAAAATGCCTAGGTGTTTGGATTTGTCATTTTTATCTACTGTTGATCTGACAGTTCAGATGCTCACTTCTAATTTGTGTCATGTAGAATGGAACATAAAAGAGAAAAGTGAAATGCACCATTCATATGTAAATTGGGACCTCAAGACTGATTATTATAACACTACAAGCCAGAAAACCTATACAGTGTATATTTAAACCAGATTATATTAAACATATAGTATTTTAATTAATAGTAGAAACCAATACCAACCAATTTAACTATCGTATGCTATACTAAACAGCTTGATTTTCTTAATTCACACTACTAAGAGACAATTGATCACTTGTTGAAGATTGAAGACAGAGAGTGTTGTTCGCTGTGGTGTATGCCCACATACAACACACACATGCACATATGGGCACATGCATACATCATATAAACAGATAGAAGCACAGGCAGCAGACAAATCACCCAGTAACGGCCGATTAGCCTTCAAACAGCAAATCAATCAATCTTTCAATCCACAGGTCATTTCACCGGCAACTCGAATGGGCAGGATGTCCTTGGGCTTTGTATCTTTTAGTATGTGCTTCTCCTGTCACACAGTCACTCTCTCTCTTTCTCTTTCTCTCTACCACTCTCACACACACAGACACACACATACACACACACACACTAAGACAAAACGAATGAAATCGATAAATAAAGGAAAGCACTGCTGGGCTGGTGTGAGCTGCTGTAGGCCATTAAGCAGTAAATAATTCCAGGCAGCTCTGACGAGACTCAGGCAGCATGTGTGGATGGACTGCAGATGAGCACGAGAGAAGGAGGGATGAATGAACGGAGAGAGGAGTGAGGCGGTGCACCCCACACGAGCCGGCAAAAAAAGAAGAGGGGAAAGATGATGGGAAGAGGCAGCATGAATGGACAGCAGGGCTCCAAGAGGGGGAATAGAGGGGACAGCATGCAGAAGAATGAAAGAGAGACATGAGGATGAATGAAAGTAGCGATTCATGTTTTTCATTCTAAAAAAAGAAGTGCAGCTGTGTGTCTGCTATGAGCAAACATGGTGGGATAGTGTTGTGCTAAAAGGGTAGGAAAGGAGCAACCAACCAGATGAAAGGCAGTGAAAATGGGAGGACCAGAAAAACATGCAGTCATAAATCCACATCTGCCCAAGATATTAGTGTCTCCTCTGACCCTGACTCACCATTTGATTGATTGCAAAGCAGATCGATATTTTAAGTCTGCAACAGAAGAAAGCCAAATGGCCTGAGTTTACACTCTTAATCTAACTTTTCCCAAGAAAAGATTTAGTTTAGGAATAAAAATTCATCCTTTTTTAAAGAGGTGGAATTATGCTTTTTGGCTTTTCCCCTCTTTATTGAGTTATATATCTTTTTTTGTGCATGTAACAGGTTTGCGAGTGAAAAAGCCCAAAATCCAGCCCAAAGGGAGTTCCTATCTCCCATCGAAAGCACTGCTCTGAACTGCTTGAAAACAGCTTGTTTGTAGTCCAGCCCTTCACTTCCTTTACTTGTGACATCACAATGAAAACGCGTCATAAAGCTTGCCAAGTGGTTAGCGGGGTCAGGCACGCCCTCAAACCAAGCTAGTCTGAGCGGTGGCCCTTTGGCTCGACTCGCCTTTGTTTGGGTTTCCATTGTAGAAATGTTGTACCTGGACCTGCTTCCAGGTACTTTTTTTCATATCACCTCACCTCCATCGAGGTTCCAAGCGAGGTGAGGGATACTAAAATGTAACGTGAAAACACGACAGACTGTGGCGGTGGGGGAAGCCTGTGCCAACCCGCGGGAGGAGCGTGTGAGGCCGGCCAGCCGCCCGCTCACAGAGCCCTCTGCCCCCGCCATCATACAGACCGCTGCAGCAACAACAGCAGAGGAAAACGCAGCTGGAAGGTTTTCATACCGCTTGTCTGTCTTTACATTCTGAGGAATGTTGAAACATTTTAACTTAAAAAAAGAAAGCTGTGTGGATCGCTGGTGTGTGTGTCGCATTGAACATTATGTTGCGGCAGCTGTGTGTGGCGTCGCTATGACGACAAGCTACATACTATCTCTGGGTACTATCTGCAACGGAAAACGGAGCAGGGCCGAGTAGAGTCGAGTCTATCGATTTGCATCATGTTAGCATTTTTCTGCAAGGCAGCATAGATCGTAAGAACACCGGCAACAGTTCAACGTTTAGTCCTAAAAGACGATGCAACTCACAATCACAACCTGTAAGTATGCTTTATTGGTTGTGAATTATATTTAAAATAAACACGGCAATGTAACTTCACAGACTGTTCAAGTGTGGAGTTGTTGTAAACGTTGGTTAACACAGCTAAAGTTATAGCTATAATGCTAACGTTACACCTGATGTGAAAGCTACTGAGCAAACGTTCAAACTGTTTGGCCAGTTTTTATGTAAAACTGAGTTGAAATATAATGATTTTTGTAGTGGTTTATGGTAAGATGTGGAACAATGATGTTGTGTTACCATCTGTTAGGTTACGGTCACAAAGATTTTGTACAAGTAGCTCAAGAGTGGAGCTTACAACACATAGGGTGAAAAGAGGAGCTGCAGCAATGTGCAGTATGAGAAAAATATGGTGTTTTTTGAAAATTAAACCATGTAAACCTGTTCTGGTACAACCACTAAATAAGATTTTGAACCTTAAAATGAGCATAATACCACCTCTTTAATGAACAATAAAACCGTTTGGACATATAGCTTATACACCGATCAGCCATACATTATGACCACCAGCCAAATTTTGTGTAGGTCTGACTCATCGAGGCATGGACTCCACTAGACCTCTGAAGGTGTGCAAGACATTAGCATCAGATCCTTTATGTCCTGTAAGTTGTGAGGTAGAGCCTCCATAGATCAGACTTATTTGTCCAGCACATCCCACAGATGCTCAAATGGATTGAGATCTGGGGAATTTTGAGGCCATGTCAACACCTTGAACTCGTTGTCGTGTTCCTCAAACCATTCTTGAACCATTTTTGCGGCAGGGCACATTGTCGTGCTGAAAGAGACTACTGCCATCAGGAAATGCCGTTTCCATGAAAGGGTGTACATGGTCTATAACAATTCTTAGGTAGGTGGTAGGCTAAACGTCAAAGTAACATCCACATGAATGGGACCCAGGGTTTTACATAGAACATTGCCCAGACCATCACACTGCCTCCGCTGGCTTGCCCCCTTCACATAGTGCATCCTGGCGCCATGTGTTCCCCAGGTAAGCAATGCACACGCACCCAGCCATCCACTTGATGTAAAAGAAAACATGATCCACCAGACCACGCCACATCTTCCATTGCTCCGTGGTCTAGTTCTGATGCTTAGCCTACATGCCCATTCTAGGTGCTTTCGGCAGTGGACGGGTCATCATTGGCACCCTGAATTTGACCTACAGTAACTGGATCAGACCACACAGAATTCCCAATCAGGATGAATTGTGATAACTTTGATGATGATCTTAACTTCATCTAGCATATCAGGTTGTCAAAATTACATTCACATTAGTCTTTTGTGTTTTTTGCCAATCAACAAATGTTAGCATGCTAACACGCTAAATTAAGATGGTAAACATAAACATTACACCAGGGCTTTCAAGTCTCATGCATTCACTGTGAGACACATGCATTTCAGGCAGTTCACACGCTCACACGCCACACCTTGTATTTCTCACGCATAGAAGTAAGTTATGAGATAACGCCCACAAAGTTGTCCCGCTACATTCAATTAATGGATCATTTTTGCGCCGAGTTCATAGCTTTCTCTGTAGCCTACTAAAGGCCAGAGCTGTTAAGCCGATCAGAAATTAAAATGTGTTGTTTCTGGTTAAATTCCATGATCCCATTGCAAGCACGTTCTTTACCAGGCAACATGGATGCTCGTGCACACACGGAGTGGAAGTTGGAAGCGCAAGACCCGATGGATGCAGTAACTGTAGG